ATAAGGCGCAACTGTTATTTTTTAAGAAAATCAAAGGCTTTTTAGTGCGCCTTATAGTGCGGAAAATACGGTACTCTGGCTATGCTATTACTTTGTACAGCAAAAGATAGCATTACTAATATAATCATAATATTATCTTTTTATTAACATGTGACATATTACTTAGAGTCCATGATCAGAAAGGATTTAAAATTAAAAACTGAATAGGAGCTTGTGCAGACAGTCAGCTTTAATTTAAGGCTATGGAGACCTATATTGAGTTAACTATGTGAGGATTATAACCCTTTTAAGGGCGCCAAAGTATTTGGACGATTGACTGCTTAGTGCTCTTTGACCAGGGTGGTGTTATTGCGTCATATCTTGGTGATGGTATTTATGAATATTAAGGGAGCAGACAGTTTAAAGGCTGCCTCTAATGGAGGCCGGCCACCTCCCAGCTACACCGAGACAGCGAGCTAATGGGGAGCCAGCCTGCTTGTACCTCCTGCCCTATGCTAGGTGAGTGCAACCAGACTCCGGGATGCTTCCGACTGCCACCCTCACGTGACCTCTATGAAACCTTAGTGACCCACAGTACCTTAAGATTGGGCGTCTGGGTCTGATCCACGATGAAACGCATGAGTATGTTGAACTGCTGGTCGAATGGGAATGAATCCCTGGGAAACAGGAACATGGAGACAGTCAGTCCCGGTGACCCAGATCTTCCGAGAGGAAACTGACAGGCACAGGGCCAAACGGACCTGGTGACGTCCAGGGCCTTCTGGACCTTGGCCTGGACGGAGCCCAGCAAGTCGGCACCCATCTTCTTCAGCAGCTGGGTAAGCAGGACGAAGAGCCAGTCCTGGAGGTCCTCGCGGTGAACGAGGATGAAGTCCACCAGCGTCTCCAGGAACATGCTGAACACCTGGAGCACATTTAAGGAGACTCCAGTAAAAATGCTAGTGTGTCTCACAGATGTGCGCAGCACTCAGCTCTTACACCAGCAAAGAATGAGGAGGACACTTACTCTCTGAGGTTACAATCCACACCACGGCAGACCATGCAAACGGGAGACAAGGACAGTCCGTTAGTACGAGTGAATACAGTTCCTCTGCAGGGAGAACCACTGTGACAGAGCCAGAAGCATGAAGTGAAAATATTACAGGTAATTTATGCTGAATCTGCATGGTGGTACATGAGTCAAACAAGCTAAACAAGGGAAATCATCAACAAAAGATCAGGCCCTCAGCCTGGAGAAAACCTCACAGCTTCTGAATATCCATAAAGTGAACCCTTCTGAAATAAGCAAAAACCACACAGAGAAGACAGGTGTTTCTGTTAAGGGATAGTCACATCTTGTAAAATACACACGGCACTCATACATTTCGCTGATCTTGAATAGAGGGAACAGGGTGTAATATGAAACAGGCACTCTGGGGAGGGTATTTAAACCTAATGAACAAGTTAAAAAGGGGCCTGCATGCACACACTGGGGGTGCCCCCCCCCCGTGGCGGGAATGGCTACCTTGCTGTGCGGGTCGGCAAACATCCTGGTGAAGATCTCACAGAGCCTCTTCAGTTCCACTCGGCTGCGGAAACAGAAGTGGCCAGGAGTGACACATAGGGCGACCTCCATGATTCTCTCGGGGGCAGCTGATGACCGCCGCTCGGTGCTGTCACCTCCCCAGCCCTAGTTACGGCCTGTTTTCCCAGCAGCCTTTGCTCTCGGCATGGCCCCACCCACCTGAGGATCCGCTGGCTCTTGAGCAGGTTCTGCAGGCCCAGTAGACCCTCCTTGCGCTCGGACCAGTTAGAGCTAGCGCAGTGGTTGAGCACCTCGGCTACATCCTCCGTCTGCCGCAGGTAATGCGGCACGCCGCCGTTGCGGGAGCCGTACGAGCGCTCTGAGCAGGCGCTGGACGCATCGCTGTTAGCATCGTCGTCTGAGTACATCCCCGGCGACTCGTACCGCCGGCGGACGGGCTTCCGCTGCAGGAGGCGAGAGGCGCGTCAGGGAGCACTTACTCTTGATTCCATACAGATAACCGCCTGGGCCCACTGGACCAGGACCAGGGGGGTCTGCTGCTGTGTGCTGTGGGTGTGCAGGCCTGCTGCGCAGCTGAGGGCCTGCAGCACACTGCTAAGGAACCACCCTGCCTTTCACTGCGGCCAGCATGAATAGACACTAACCACTCTCAGATCAGTGCTTGCTAACCGCTCCATTTACAAGACATTTAGAATTGATTGAGACACAACTTTCAATATACCGATGGGGACCCCCCCCCCCGGAAAAATATGACAATGGGGACCCCCTGGTGGCTCGTCAGAGTATTTTCTTTGCAGCTCTCACAGTAAAAAAAAAATGGTTGGGAACCACTGCTTTAGAAGCATTACTCTACTAGTACTCTGGCTATGCTATTACTTTGTACAGCAAAAGATAGCATTACTAATATAATCATAATATTATCTTTTTATTAACATGTAACATATTACTTAGAGTCCTAAATAAATTCAGTACAAACTCGATCACCTTGTCAAGCTGACCTACATAGCGATGTGGTCACATGTCACAGCAGGATGGCTGCAGATGGAACACATACAGCATCCCGCTTGCCGTATCTTGCAACGCAGCGGTCAAACATCAAAGAAGTAACATCCAAGGGACCCAAAAGAGGTTTACCAAAACTAAAGTGTGAACAGTGTCAGTGCCCAGCTAACGCACCAGCTGCTGTGTGTCTGACCACATGCAATCTCTGGGACTGGATACTAACAAGTCATCCAGAACAGCATCATGACACTGATCATCAAAAATGCCAGCAGCCCAGCAGCTTAAATATTTCAGCTACATACCACGTTTTCTTCTGTTTACAGTCTGCAACAATGAGTTTTACATGCTTCCAGGCGGACTGTGAAATAAACTTTGAGGATGAATTCTTGCGTCTTCCATGTGTCTATTGCAAAGCGATGCAACTTTTGATACAATCTGACACATCATTACTCCCGACACAAAACAACAACTGCAATGTACAAAACATGCAGCCAAGCTGATGAAACTTCCTGAAAGTGCAGCGTACGCGCTCGATGTGTCCTTCATCACGGTCATCCTCTCCAGTGAGTAAAACACGGTACGGGCTTCATGACGGCAGCGCTGTTAGCCATGTGGTTAAACACCGCTGAGGCCCTCAATGATGTGAAAGCCCAAACTCATTACAGTCACGCTTACCTTGTTCCTGGAATCACCGAGCAGCTGAAGGCATGGAGAGAAAATCAGAAAAAGAAGAGCAAAGTTATTGTTCGATCAGATTCTTCTGAGCGAGCATGACAGCATGACATTACTGCAGCCAATGACAGAGTACGACCTAATGAAATTACACAGCACAGTAAGATCAGGCGTTGGAGAATGAAGAGCATCATGAGAAGCCGTTCCCTCACCAGGGCGTCTGCCACCGCTGCCTCCACCTCTGTGCCCGTGTTGAGGACCCTCATGGCTGAGATCCGAGCAGGATGCACCAGGCCAAAGCGGTCTGCGGTGCGGAGACAGGAGAGTCACACCGTAAGATGAAAGGCAGGGACAAAACACAGTTTCTACAGTGATGGAGGGTGATGGAGGCTGCAGATCCAGACGTGATTTTAACACAGAATGGAGTCGCCGTCATGAGTACACAAGCGGTGAGGCTAAAAATAAATGAAGCTGATGACTGATTAATAACAAATAAATAAAAGGGAGAAATTCCACAATCTCCGGCTCCAAGAGAAACAAAAAAAAATCAAGGTTTCCTTAATCATTGATAATAAACAGGACAGAGTAATATCAGAAGGCAATGATCAGGAACAAAACTGGGGGGAAACAAAAAGCAAAATAGGACAGCAAACGGCACCTACTGGAAGTAAGACTGCAAATGTAAAACAGAAAATACACTGCTAAACCAAAAAGGGAATTCCCACAAGAAACCGACAGCTGACAGGACGACAGCATGCTTCATGTGCCAAAATAATGGTGAAAAGCGACGAGGGACCTTCAGGCGGACAGTAGAGCTCTGAGGGCATGGGGATGCAGCACGGCTGTTACATATAGGTCACCCTGTAAAAAGCCCGCTTCCTTAACAATGCAGTAGTAGTGCTCTCTGTGGGATACCACAGGAACGCCGGGAACGGAGGGGTGGACGGGAAGACAGCCACTCAAAACAAAACTGGAGTGAAGACATGCGAATGGACACCGTCTCCTGCCATCAGGAATGAGAGGATGAGACGGACGAGCGACACCTCCACACTCAGCCTGCGGCGCCGTGCCTGATGCAGGGCCTGGATCACACTCGGCACACTGGTCAGTTTTACGCAGTAATGGAGTCAGACGTGGTTTCCTATCTGCCTGCTGGGTCCTGAGAGCTGGAGAGAGAGCTCTGGAAGGACAGTGTGTGCAGATGCTCCTTCAGAGGAGCCTTAACACAGCCGGTGCCGCACGCTGAGCCGTGGAGGTTCTCTCTCTGCGCCACGCGCCGCCCTGTCGCAGGCGGGGCGCAGTGCCACGCACGCATGTTGATGAAGGCCCCCTCCCGCATGCAGGTCACCTGACTGGGCCACGGGGTCGGCCGCGGAGAGCGCGCTGGTGGAGCGGGAGTGCCGTCGGGAGGCTGCAGGGCACAGACCCAACGGGAGGAGTGCAGGGTTAGCGACACGGGAGACGTCCTCACAGGAGGCTCCCCAGCAAGACGGCGGAATGCGACAGGTACCCACCCCCACCCCCCCATACACAGCATGAAAGAGTCTTGGGCTGCACCCAAGATCACACGATGACAATGCAATGGAGCGGCATGTGCTACATGACTGCATTCACAAGCACAGGAAGCCAGCTCAAGCCAGAGAGTCAGCTAGCTGCTGGGCACACCGCCCTCTACTGGCCGCTCGCTGCACTGCACCAGGACACACCATCTGCTTTCCTCTCAGTAGTATGTTGCAGCCTTCTGTGGGTCAAGTTCACCAAAAACCATGATGATAATAAGGTCACGGGGAGTGTTAAACGCAGCTCTGCGGCTTGACACGGGCGGCCGTGCCTGACAACGGCATAAGGAGGCCGCACTGTCGCACTGACCAGTCAGCTTCATTACTGCTCACTGGAAAAAGACCGAAATCCCAGAGCAATGACTCTGGATCCGGAACAGGAAGAAGAAGGATGCATGCAGATTAGGGGGGAAGGCGAAGGAAGGCCGGGCCCACAGATGAAGTGGGGAGGGAGCCTCACTGACGGGGCGGAGGGTCTGCTCCATAGCCATCCCGTACTCACCCAGAGGAGCGAAACCGCGCGCGGGACTCGTGTCCCGACTGCTCTCGCGGCTGGTGTCACGGCTGCACCCCTGGCTCACGCTGGGCCGGGGGAGGCGGCTCCGGGCTAGCGTGCGGTGGGGGGAAGAGTGGCAGGGAGAAGAGCTTTAGAACACAAGTCAGTGGGTTAGTAGGGGCTGTGGGCGGGGCTTACAGAAGGGGGCGGGGTTCTGGGCCAATGTGTGGCAGGGAGAAAGTCTTTAGAACACAGGTCAGTGGGGACTGTGGGCGGGGTTTATAGATAGAGAATTGAGGGCGGGGCTCCAGGCCAGCATGCAGCAGGGGGATGATCTTTAGAAGATAGGTCACTGGGCTAGTGGGGGCTCTGGGCGGGGCTTACAGAAAGGAGCAGAGAAAACATTTAACGTTGAGTTAAAGTGGAGGGCAGCTTCAGTGTTAGAAAGCGAAGAACAGCTTGATGCTGGGGCAAACAGTAAGAAAACACCGCCAGAGAGCAGCTAAGGATGATGGAATGGAATAACAGGGGGAGAGACAGCAGAGAAGCTGACTGAGCAGCACAGGATTCACCGCTTGATAGCGAGGATTCGCTCCATTATAAAGCATTTGAGAAGGATCCTTCCATGAAGGGGACTCTTACTGAACACACAGACCTGAGTTCAAACACTTAACCTCTAACTTGCATTTTACAGCCAGCTGAATCAGCTGCCTAACTCTGCATGATGAGAAAGTGCAGCCTTCCTGGACACTGGTGATGACAGCATGTCTCACGATGAGCTGACGAACAGTGACCTCAGCACAGAGCGGCGCAGATGGGAGTCTCCGTGGGGGCCTGTTTGGCCAGCCCTGCATCAATCAATCACACAGAGCAGCCAACCGACCAATCAATCATCCGATCGATCGCAGGAAGGGTGGAGGCGTGGGCTGACACAAACGCAGCCTAGATCGACCAAGGTTTAGTTTTCTCTCTGACCAAGGATTCCCCACAGCAGTCTGGTCCCGCCATTAACCCTTTCATGCTGTGTCACTTGGTCTAGTTGCACTGACCCTGCCATCAGGCAGATCTCCATGCATGTAGGTATGTGTTTCTGTAATGCTTCTGCAAAGTCTTACCTCTGATGCAGGGAAGAATCCCCATGAATAAATTGGTCTCGGTTGGGGGCCAATATGATGCTTTCATGGGGCCCAAAATCTCTAGCAGCACCCCTACTGATATCTTCCCATACCTGTACCTGGCAAAGCTCTTACCAACACTCAATTCACGTGGGTATGATGTGTGCCCCCCTGGGTGTATGCCCGGGGCATGTGGTGACGGTGGCAGGGGCCTTACCCACGCCCAGCCTGGTGGGACTGGTCTCGCGACTGCAGCCCTGGCTCCGAGGCACCCTGGCACGCTTGTCGGAGGAGGGCGTGGCGGCGGCGGAGGCGGAGGTGCGGGGGGCCCGGCCGTGAGCGTGGCCCAGGAGTCGTCCTGGAGAGCTGGAGCGACTACCAGCTGTAACAGGCAAAGAGAGCACAGAAGGGCCTGTCAGGGGGGGGGGGGTTTGAGGCATACCAGTAAATCTACCCCCAACTTGATCCACGATGTGGCTCATCCATACATCACAACACAGGAAGTCCCTGAGGCATCACAGCTGGATATGAGTCACCCAGGGAAAGGGTCTGTCAAGGGCCCAGCAGTCCTGATCTTCCTGGGATATAAACCTGCAACCCTTTGGTGTCAGTACTATAGAGTCTGAGCTGCCCCATCCTCAACTTCAAATTAAAATATTGGAAACCAATATTTGAGGCAGAGCTTAAAATGTGTCACTGTAGCAACAGTGAAACAAGGTATTTGGCATCCACGGGGGATACACAGTAGGGTTGCGCAAGGAGAGCCTTAACTTGGGTGGTGGGGGGGAGACGATGACCAAGACAACACGAAACACAGCACTGTGATCACCTCCAGTGACGATAGTACAGAGGAAACAGGGAAAGGCTATACAGGACAGCGATTTCATGGCGGGACCCCACATAAACTGTGGAGCTGAAGGGGGAGGGGCTAATGGGGCATGCTTCATGAGGTTGTTTGGAGCAGACCGGGTCATGCTGAAGACCCCAGGGTGGGGGGGGGGGGGGGGGGGGGGGGGGGGTAGTGGGGGGGGGGGGGGGGGGGGGGGGGGGGGGGGGGGGGGGGGTGAGGTAGATGGGGGTGGCAATGGCATTCGCCCCCATGTGGGCAGCCCGGGCAGAAGCGGGAAGCCATGTGAGGAAGGGTGTACAATATGGAACTCACGCTGGGACTGGGATGCCACCTTGGCACGACTGCGCCCCCTGCTGTCTGTGGTGACGGTGCTCACCCCCACCGCGCTTCCAGAGCTCGGCCTCCTGGTGCGAACGCGGCCTGAAGGGGAGGAAGAGAATAAAAGAGAGAGAGAGAGAGAGAGTCAATGCAGCCACCATTCAACACGATACAAGCCTAAGCCAGTGCAGACCCACAGACGCCAACAATACAGGAGCAGCTTTCTGAGCAAACAGTAAAGGGGAACCCCCCCCACACACACACACACACACACACACACACAGGGGTGCTGTCCACTGAGGTCCGGGTGCCTAGGCGCCTCTCCGACTGCAGTCCATCTAGTGGCATGCAGTGGACAACCTGAACGCAGGCCCAGATGGGGCATTAATAAGCGTCCCAGCGCTCAGACGTGGACGTTTACACCATCAAAAAGTCCACAGCACAGGGAGGGCCGCATCGGGGAAACCTGGGAGGCAAAGTTAGAAGCACAGATGCTAGGAGGAAGGTGAGGCCACTCGCCTGTTGCGGCGATTCAAGGGTAATTAACTCAGGAGTGGGAGCAGTAGAAAAATCAGGCTGTACTGTCACATCACTGATATGACAGTCTCGTCACTCTGTGGACACCTACTCAACAGAGACTCATCTGGTCTCCTTAAACTGCTCAGCAAGCCTAGGATTACAGTTAGTCCCAGAGGACACTTTAATACCCCAGCTACAGTATGGATGACAGCTGTTTAAATAACTTAGCTATAAAGTAGAATTCTTGTGGATGTACAGAAATAATGTGGTTTCACCCCATGGAACTCAAACTGATCTCTGCTCAGGAACTGGCTGTGCCAAGGCCCACAAGCTAGGGTCTACCATACTGGTCAGAAGTTGCCAACCTAGAAAAGTCTGCACTGTTCCTACAGGGGCCTCTGCTTGATACATTTCTTAGTAACAAGGAGAAATTTTCTTCTAATCCTGAGAACAGACCATCAACAATACATACAACAGAGGAGTACGACCCCACATCAGTCTGCTGCTGGCTCGTTGCTAAGAGTCAGTTTTAGAAAGAAAACCAGATTCACAAAGCCTCTCAAATGACTATCCATTTGCAGAGCTATTGAATTCTCAACGCCGCAGGGTGTTCGGCCATGCAATCAGTATCTGTTACTGACGGGGCAGGAGCAGCAGTGCACATTATCCTGGCAGTAGAATAGGTCACACACACACACAGACAATGTCTGCTGAACAACAAAGACACACATCAACAGCTCTGTGGATCACCCAACGTTCATACGAGAGCAAGAAGACTGCATCTGAATGATATCCATCACAAACACACAGGAATCTCAATGACAGGAATCAAATGTGAGTCAGCTGATGTATGAGTGCTATCAGGAACATGGTGCATTGAAACAGGGGAAACACTATCTCCAAGCTGGGTGGGTAGGCTGCGATTTCCCTGATCCCTATAGTGAACCTGGAAAACCATGGAGCACAAAAGGCATGCTCCGGTATTCTGCGGGAATAAGAGGCGGAGGAGTGCTGAAAAGGTCACAGACTGCTGGGTCAGATACTATCAGCGGCCCACCAAAGGCCTGCCGAGAGCCACTGATGCTCAGAAACGCTTGCATTGGCTTCAGAGAATGGCCTGAGTAAACAGCCACCCAAGCGGACTCCAAGAAAAACCCTGGAGCACCCTGAGGAACCAAGGAAGCGAAGAATAACTGCACCAGAAAGAACCTGTCTGACCATGTGACTTTTAAAAGACCCTGAACTTTAATTCTATGTGCATGTGGAGAGACTGGATAAAAATAATCATAAATTGATAATGTAGTGATAAATTTCAGGACGCTGCAAACCAAACACATAAACATCTGCTGTCGGTCTGATAATCCATATGAGCAATATGAGGGGACGTCATTCACTGTGTCCAGGGGCCTTGTGACACACACATAGTTGAAAACATATATACATACACAGGAACACCACTGATCACAGCCTGTGAAGAACCACCCTGAACTAGACCACAAAAAAAAAAGTCCTTGGTGCTGCACTGAACCCAAATGGCATGCATTCACATCGCTAAATGCCAAATCCCAACCAAATGACAGAAAGAAACCTGGCTGATACACCGAGCTCTGTGTAATTCGAGGCGGCTCGGTGTGTCTCTCACAGTGATACTACATGCAAACAGCTCATGCAGGATTCCACGGATGACCACCGAGTCAATGGTGAACACAGACTGAGGTGGTGGTGGGATTGGTACAGGGGGCCACCGATGACGTCACCCAACAGATGGGGGACACGGACAGACAGCTTACCCTCTGGTTTACCAGGCGTGCCATCTTTGGGCAAAAAACAGTAAGGAGAGCGGGAAAGGGGGCGGGGAGGCATAACAGGAAGACATTAGTACCAATCAGTCAGGACAGGGGACGATCCGGATCCCATGGACATCTGTTCTGGGACCAGTAAGGGCACCAGAAAATACTGGGGTTTGACCAAAGAGGGGGCACGATTCACAAGGGAGGAGTCAGCTAAGAGATGTGTACATTTATAGCAGAAAGTAGTATGATTTCAAAGAGCTATCTGAAAGCTGGCAAGGGCAGAAAGAGAATCCAAAATGATCAAAAGGTAAAAAAAATGTAGAATTTCTCAAACATTAATTTCTCTTCAGATGTTTCATATGATGATTCGCCTCCTGATATTGTTACCCTCCAGCGTAGCAGAGAACATTAACCCACCGGCGGCTGCACCTCACTGCACCCTTTAATGATGACCGTGAAGCCTGTCGAGGCTTATTAATGACATGACATGGGCAGAAAGGCAGTGATGTTCATGTTTCTCACTTCTCATCAAGAGAAAAGTGAGTGGAGACAAAGTCCATAGCACTGGTGAGACCTCGCTGACCCAGCGTATGAAGGGGTATGGGAAGAACGGGGGGCGGAAGGGAGCAGAGGCATTACCCAGAGAGGCGTAGGACCCAGGGGGCAGGGCGGCAGCGGAACTGAAGGGTGCAGCGGACGTGGGAACCGCCGTCATGCGGGACTTGGCACTGGTGGCAGCATTGACGTCGATGTCACTGCGGGATCGCTGGAGGGAGCCTGGCGCTGATGGGACCCTGGAACTCACCACTTTGGCTTTTGGGGGGTCGGGGGGGCACATTTAAACCTCATTAGCTGAATAGGTCTGAATGTTACCGGCCTCAAATCATGACACAACATTCCTTGTTCAAGCATGAGACGTCTATATACTCAGAAAAACAACAAGCACATATTGAGGACCATACACTACTGATATGAAGTCCATGCTAGACCACTGATAACTAATCATTCCATCCTTAAAACAGAAAGTACTACACTATTGTGCTGAATACATCACATCTCTTGGTAATTGTAATTCTTTCTGAATATTATGCACTAAAATTGAGGTACCAAGTTCTTCAGGAACCATGTGCAGGATACAGTACTGAATGTGTCTGATGTATGTTTGCTTTGGTAAGCAGCTGTACTGTCTTCACTGTCAATCTCAGAGCTCAGGCCCACAAAGATCAAGCCCTTCGCTCTGCTCTGTTTCATGCACCTGCCCGTCATTCCTGGTGTGTTTTTACCTCGAGCCATGCTGGTCCCCATCGGGCTCTTCGCAGAAAGGCGGCTGTGGGAAGGGAGGGTTGGAGAAGAAGGGAGTGAGAGAAGGAGGAAGGGAGGGAGGGAGAGAGCAGGCAGGCAAGCTTTAACATACCAAATCTTTGGGAAAATGAGACATCACATTGTGCCCAGTTAGTGCTCTGGCCCCACAGCCTCTGCAGGGACACACAGCGGGGCACCAAAAGCTCTCTGTCACAGCCATTCTGTGTCTCAAAAGCTGCCGATTCAAGGAAAAGGAAAAGGGGGGGGTGCTAAGCAGCACCACTGGGCCAGTTTCACATGGCGTCACTCTTCACCGACCTTGCCAGCCTCAAGAAACTGGGACGTTTCCCCAGAAAACCGTACTGTCACAAAAAGCCACTTGGATTTCTCCAACTTCCTGATGGTGTGATTTTTTTCTGGCCACCGGGGGCTGGAGTGAGAGCTCTCAATGGGATCTTCCAGGAGAAAGCAGCTAAGGAGGCCACTCGGGGAGCTGTGGAGCACGGCTGCTCCCCCCCTGCTTTAACCTGGGGCCGGATTCAGCACGCCTGGGCATTACTCACAGTCAGCCACACAGAGAAACACCGACCCTCCCTCCTCAATCAGTCGGGATGGAGACGGAGTGACACAGTGAGTGAATGTGATGTGAGAAACACAGCACAACAGCCGAATGATTTCCAGGGCTGTCCCCTCCTGGTCGACCCCATGTGACATCTAAACATTCCCTCTGGAAGGTCATCATGGGCAACACATGGCCCTGAGCCAACCATCTGACTGCCCCTTCACGGTGAGACTCTATCCAAATGTTTGAGCTGTTTCAGGGTTACTTTTATGGATCATACGTAGCAGTGACCTCAGTGTATCTCGCTCACTCGCTCAGGTAGATCAAGGCACAGTGATAAAATCCTAAACAGACCATCAAAAGCACTCAAAAACTTGACCTACAGACAAGGTGAGTGAGGAATAAGTGGGAGAGCGATGGGGGATGTCAGCATTTGTGGAGGGAGGCTCCTTACTTGAGGCTCTCCTGGGAGCTGGAGGATGAGCGGTCTGACTGTGGCAGGGACACGATGCTGTCAGAGTTCTTCAGGTGCGACTGCAGGGCCTTCTGGTAAGAGGCCTCCAGAGCTTGGAAGAGGTGCTCTGCCTCCCTGCTGAAGTGTCCGTGAAAGCCCCAGTAACACCTGCGGGAGCGGGGAGCAGAGCTATAACCGACCTTCGGAGCAGCGGGACAGCACTCCAAAAACAGGGGGAACTGACAGAAAAGCCAATGCTTCTAAAACTGCACATGGACATCAGCTGCCGCCTCACAAACTGCATACTAGACCAAGGGGAGACGCCTACTTACAGGATCACTGCGACTGTGCAGGATAAAGCACAACGTCAACATACACTTCCTTAAGCTGCTAAGCACAAAGTGTCCAAACCGATGAAAAAAAGAACGTCCGACATTAAGGAATCCACGACAGAACGACAGACACGTTTTAAGTGGAATTACGAGCTCATTCTGTGTGGGAAAAATATGAAATAAGCATCAGAAAGACTTACTTTCTGGCCACAGATCTTGCCTCGGAGTCGGCGTCATGGATGCCCTTCTTGATGGTCTCTGTGAGGACCGCGACGTGCCTGGGGGAGCAGGGAAACATGACTAGCGGGACGCTTCCCGTGCGGCGACTCCACAAAGTAGCGGCCGGTTCACGGGGCAGTGAGCGCGCCACTGCGACAGCGAGATCTGGCTGCCGTCCCGGAGTCGCCTTTACATCACAAAGCAGCTCCCAGCACTGAAAGGGGAAGTGGGCACAGTGGGCGCCTTTTAAACAACCGGGGCCGGGTTGCCGTGGAAACTGGTGAGACGCGGCACTGACAGCTCCCTCCCCTCGTTAATCTGATCCACACAGGCTCATCAGCTGCCCGCCGGGGCAGCGCTCCATCACTGGCAAACTGCACCACCTCTCTAAATGCCACTGGTGGTGAGTAGAGCGCAGCCACGCACACACACTTCATTAAGAGGCGTGTAGTGCTGCCACCGCAGTTTCTCGATTTCCTGAGCCGTTGCTGCAATGTATCTGAATTTCTCCAGTTATTCCTTTACTCCATATCAAATTTAACAGCCAGATAAAGCGTGAATGCTGTAAAAATTCAACCCTATAACCACATCTCCACCCACTGTGATATCACCCCACACTCTGCTGCCATACAAAGAGTGTCAAAAAATCGGACAGCAGCAGAAATACCCAAGTGACACGCCTCCCTTTTGAGGAACTCATGTCATTGGCTGTTGGCCCGTGGGGGAACCGTAATTCAAAGTCCCGGCGATGGGGGCCTTACCGCTCCAAAGAGTGCATCTGCCACTCCTGCAGCAGGAGGTCTAAAAACTCGTAGCAGCGCCTGCCAACAGAGGGGGGCAACGATCACACGGAATTCAGCAGACCTTTAGCACCCCTTAGGCAGCAAGAGCCCGGCGGCCTTACCGTCGGACGGCCACAGACTTGGATGTGCAGTTGCTGGTCATGATGGGAATCAGCCGGGGGTAGTGTGTGTGCTGGAGAAGAAGCGGAAACACATCAGCCACTGGCCTGACAACACCCTGGCATGACATCAATCGCGGTCTGGGGGGGGTGGTTGGGGGTGCGAGGATGCCCCCTATCCCAACAGCACTGTCGGTACAGAAAAAGGTTCTGACTCCAAATCACCAGACCAAACTCAGGCCTATGAGTTTTATATCTTGATGGAAAGAAAACAGTCACCTACTTTCGGAAAACAGACAGCTGTGAAACCTCAAGCTTGCATGGTAAATACAAGCCGGTCCTTCACCAGACAAGCAGGGTCAGCACACTGCAGCTTGTAGGGATAGGGTGTCATTACCAAATACTACTGCCACCGTCTAGCAAGAGATGGGAACAAACTGGGGGCCTTCACAGTTGGAGTTACAGGGAAATCCCTGCCAGGCGGGGCCCCCTCAACTCCCCATCACGGCACTCACGCGGATGATGAGCCGGATGGCGGCCACACCGGACGTGGCCATGACTTTGGCACTGTTAGGGACGAGGTTGAGTAGCGTGGGCATGATGGTTTCGGCGCCGTGGTCGAATCGGATCCCCAACACGGAGGATAGGTGCCTTGGGGGGGGGGGAGACAGAGAAATGAATCACTGTGAAACCGCTGACGCCGCAGCAACGGGCGTGTTTAAAGCGCAGATCTGCATGTCGGCGCTCAGAAATGCCACGACAAACAGTGGCGTTCAAGCATGCGCTGCGAACCATCCATCAGGTGGATGCTCTTTACATCCACCGATATTGGGCGCAATCCACGTCACCAGGCCTTGATTGTTATGCCCCATTAGTGGCAAACAAGAGATAATTAACAAGGCTGGACTCCATCCAGGCCTTGTGAATGCAAACACTTCCTATATGAACAGGCCTGGACCCAAAGTAGCCCTTCATCATGCCTGACAGTGTGGATCCAGTGTGAGACCTTCCTGTGCAAAAGTCTTAGGCAAGAAAATGATGTGCAAATGATCTTTGGGTGTGAAATTATGATGGCTTAATGTCTGTCGAAATGTCTCAAAGCTGAGCCATTTCAAACCCCCTCCTAAAGTCACTCCAATACTCGCAACACCCATCTAATGCACCCATGTACTTTTTGACTTGACCACTAGCATACCACATTTGGTTAATCAATATTAATATTAATATCAATATTAATTAAATTATTTAACTAATCGACTGAGCTGGTGATGAAATTTAGCAAAATACATGCAATGGCTGGGGTGCCCCTGAGAAGTTTGGGAACCACAGTGTTCATCTAGCCATCAGTAAGTTTAGGAGAACAAAAGAAATTGTTGTTTTTCTATTTTTGTTGTATTTGCCGTGCTACTCATATTGTATATGTTCTAATGTTAAGTTGTGTTTTTTTTTTTCTTGACACTTACTACCCAGATGAAAAACCTTACATAACATACAGATTTTGCACAGTACTGTACATTCATTTGTACTTTCTCTGGGTCCATATACACGACTCGTGGGAGTTTTACTTACATAAAAATGTTCTGAGGGCAGAATGAAAAATGACTGGTTCAGAGATAACCAATTAGATTGTAGTTGTAGAGGAGGTGGGTCCAAGCAACTAGAGGAGTCAGGACCAAGACATCTGATTGGTTGGTCCCGCCTCCTCTAATTGTTTGGACCCACCTCCTCTACAATTTGTGTAAGTAAAACTCCCATGAGTGTCCACACAGAGGTTCCCAAAGCAAACCCCCCCTAGTTTAGCCACCCCAGCCTGCCGACTGCCACCTACCCCAGCGTGATGCAGGCCTCACGCACCACCTGCGAGCGGAGGTCTTTGGCCGAGAGCTTGAAGGCAGCCTCTAGGGAGCGGAGCTGCTGAATGAAGCCCTCATGCTCCGCCGCACCAGCCAGGACGAGGGAACGCACCTTCTTCAGCTGGAGAGAGGAAGCCGACAGACAATAGAAGAAGAGAAGGTCAGCGGGCGGCATGCTGCAATACGACGAGCCTCATCATCACTGACCAGACGTCCGGCTCCTGAGTGCCCCCTACAGTGGCTGCACGCCATTTTCATCCGGCCAGCCTTACCGCAGACACGCGCTGCTCCCAGTCGTGCTTGTCGTCGGACAGGACCTCCCGGATCTTGTTAATGGATTCTTCCAGCTCCCGGTTGGAGTAAATCTGTGGAGAGTGAAGATTGAAGAAGGTTCAGGGAGACTAGAAGAGGGCGCAGCTGTGTGTTATGGCTCCTCCTATATCCATCTTGCATCCACATTCATGACGTGTCAGGTGCAGACCCTACCCAGCAATACCATGGCCACCAGGGGGCAACATTCATTCACACAGTCACAAAGGCACCTCATCCACCCCAAGAACATTTGTCTGAGTTGCAGAAGCAACAGTAGGTATTACCCCCCCCCCCCATGCAGGGCCACAATCCAGCATCCGTACCTGCACAGTAGGCACATCCTCAAAGGCGCGCATGAAGTCCTCCTCATCCACTGCCCCCGCGCTGGCCCCCTCCTTCCCTGAAGAGGACACAGGGTCACCACGTGGTCAAAGGGCAGAACCGCACAAGAGGCACCTCAAACATATTCCAGAGAGGTGACCATAACCCTGACCCGTCCCCATTAGAGGCTGGCCAAAGACATCGTCCATCCTTCTTCCATAAAAAACACTGCATTCATCACTTTATATTCCAAGGGCTCTTAGATCAAGGTCCTAGATTTCAAAACCCTTAAAGCCACCTTTGGGGTTTCACTGAGTCACAGAGCTCAGGCAGCCTCCTGGTGTCTCATCTGTAGTCCTGTAGCCAGGGCCGCCCTGCTGTCCTAAGCTAATAGCACACATGCTAATGTCATTACAGTGTAAACATTACCTGGGGCCTTGGGACCAGCCGCTGGGACAGGCCTGCGTACGGAACCCACGCACACGCTCCTACGGGTACCAGGGGGCGCCTTGGAGGAAGAGGAGGAGGAGGAGGACCGGCCCCCATCCAAAGAGTCTTCATCGTCAATGTTCTTGTCTGTACAAAAGGAGATGATGGGAGATGCACTAGTTAGTGATACATGACATGATGGTGTGTTGTCCTTTACGAGACACACAGGGGGCGCCGTGGAGCACTTGTCCGGTTTGACCTGGGCTCCTTTTACAGGCTGAAGGGCAGAGCCGCGCCTGAAAGACCCCAGACTCCCAGTCGACAGTCCTGGGCCTGCGTAAATTATTTATTCCATTAAAAGATGCAACATGAGTCGCACACTGTGAGGCCGCTGGGGGTGGGGGGGGGGGGGGGGGGGAATCAGCTAGGCCCACCATCGATTGACCTGAATTATTCAGACCCCCCCCCGCCATACAGTACGCACGCGCGGGGGCCACGCGAGGTACGGTGCAGCAGCGTGTAGCTCGCCACGGGGCTCAGTCTCCCCCGGCCAGAGAGACACGCCGCACCGCCCTGAACCACGGGCACCACGCGCCACCCACTCACACCACACCACAAGGTCAGCTGTTCCATCTTCCTCTACGGAGCCCGAACAACCTGATCAACCTGAAGATCCTACTGGGATCCACTGGTATCTCCCTGACTACGAGGACGTCCCAGTACAGAGTGACCCCTGAACGCCCACTTCAAACGTTACCCTCATGAAGAGCACGGACGGCTTACAGGAGCAGATGTTTTTGCAGACCAGCTTCCGGAACATTCTGCTAGCTGCTGTGGGTGAGGTCCATGTGAAGGCTGCCTCCAAGTCACTGCCACGCCGCTTCCCAGAGCACAGCCTCTCAGCAGCGTGTCTCTACTGATCTCACAGGACCACAGGACACCCCCCCCCCCCTCCCTCATTGTCAGCTGCCGAGGGGGGCCAATCCCGTCCCTCCTATGCCGTCCCATGGGGGTTGGCAGCATGGAGAAGCTGGCAGCCATGATGTCATGATGAGCCACCGCTTAGAAACTGCTGGTGATGAGAGAGTGAGTAAAGAGTGAGTAAAGGTGCTTTAATATCACAGCCCCAGCAGTCAGGGCGTTGCAGGGGGTATCAGAGAAGCCCAGGCATTCGCTCTCAGCCTCCTTTCTCTCTCTGTTCCTGGGAAGACTGATGGAGCCCTGCATCTTTCTCTGAGTTTCCCACCCAGCAGTCTGAAGCACGCGGAGCACCCTCCAGCCATATGTGCATATACGTGTGTAACAGCCTTCACTAGCATGTACCAGGGTCATGTTGTTCCTAAAACACAACATAATTCATTTTTGGGGCTTCAAATAACTGAAAGGATAACAAGAGTAATTAATTTTATTAAGGATGCCAGACAACACTGCTCAGTTAATGGCTGCCATAAATGTCAAACGCATTAAGCAGAACATGAGGCAGAATGCATCCCGAGTGGATGGGGCAGAATGCATCCAGGTGGGCGGAGCAGAATGCATCCCGAGTGGATGGGGCAGAATGCATCCAGGTGGGCGGAGCAGAATGTATCCCAGTGGGCGGGGCAGAATGCATCCAGGTGGGCGGAGCAGAATGTATCCCAGTGGGCGGGGCAGA